AAAAAAAAAAAAAAAAAAAAAAAAAGAGTTTCATCTAAAGCTGTGGTCCCCAAGCTCTGGGCTGCAGACCAGTTCTGGTCTGTGGCCTATTAGGAACCAAGCTGCATGGCAGGAGTGAGTAGCAGGCAAGCCCCTGAAGGTTCATCTATATTTGCAGTTGCTCCCCATCACTCACATCTCTGCCTAAGCTCCACCTCCTGTCTCATCCGTCAGCAGTAGCATCACATGCTCATAAGAGCATGGACCCTACTGTAAACTGTGCATGCAAGGGGTCTAAGTTGGACACTTATTATGAGAACACAATTCCTCCTCCTTTCTGCCTCCCAAGTCCATGGAAAAATTGTCTTCCATGAAACTTGTCCCTGGTACCAAAAAGATTGGGGACCAGTGGTATGAAACATACAATTTCATGAGCTTTGATGCAATTACACACCTGTGCAACTGTCACTACAATCCAGATAATGAACAGACCCATCATGCCTGAAAAGTTCCTTGTGCCCTTTACCTGGGGAGATTTTAAAAAGCTTTTAAAATCCCCACCCCAGCACAAAGAAACTTTCTGGGTTGATGGAAGTGTTCTGTACCCTAATCTAGGAGGTTAGTCAAACAACTGTTAAAGTTCTTCATGCTGTTCCCTTAAGATGTGTGCACTTGACAATATATAAAACATACTTCCATCCTGCTGCTTGGAATATGGATCTAATTGCTGGAGCTCCAACAGACATTCTGTGCTATGAGGTGACGTTGGGCACAGAAGGCACAAATGGCAGAGCCATAACATGGAAGGAGTTCATAATCTTTTGCCAGACTATTTACCGCTACACCCGTCTCTAGGAGAAAGAAAGAAATCTTCATCTTGTTTAAGTTGCTACAGAAAAAAAAAAGCTATAAAGAGTAATTCACTGAATCTTTATGACAGCCCCATGAGGTAGGTATTGTTGTTACCCTTGTTTTACAGACAAGAGAATCAGGCCCAGAGAGATTACATCATTCACCCAAAGTCATACAGTGAGTGAGACAGGATTGGAGTGTGATTTTGGACCATCTGGCTTTTTGCAAGATATTCCACTGGCCTAGGCACATGTCATTCCTCCTATCCAGAATGCTCTTCTTTTCTTATCTCACCCCTGCCAACTCCATCACACTTTTGCAGCCCTGGCTTGACTATTGTTTCTTCAATGAATGGTCACCTGCCCCCCTCCATGACTCCCACCATGCTTTCCCATGCAACTGCCTTTGTGTAACAGTGACTTGATCTGCTTTCCTGGTCTGTATTGTATGCCTACCAGGTCGGGGCTGGTATCAATCCCACAGTATTCCCAGCACCCAGTATACAGTAGATGCTCAACCTGCGTATAAAGAGGACAGAGGGACTCAAGTAACACTGAATCTGGCAACAATCTCTCTTAGTCTCAAATTGGGAACTGAACCTCAGTCTCCAGGGTCCATGCCAAGAGGTCTGCTAGTCCTTTACCTGTCTAAGAGGACCATTATTCGGGGGGGGGGGGCTTTGTTGTACCCAGGATGATGCCCACCTGGCCCCATGTCCCCCACCCTAAGCCCCTACCCTGAATAGGGTTACCAGATTTCTCAAATAAAAATACACCAGTTGCATCTGAGTTGTAGATAAAGACTCCTTTTTCAGCTTACACTCTATGCCAAATTTGGAACATGCTTATATTTAAAAGCTGATGTTGTCTACTTGGAATTCACATCAGTAGGGCATCGTGTGTGTTTGACCACCCTAGCCTGAACCGCTCTAGTCCCTGCTTGGACTCTCACCCGGTCCCCACCCCGGCTTCTCACCCCTCAGGCACTGCTGCTGCTGCTTGTTCAGGAGACTCGAGGGCCGCCCGCCCATAGTGCCGCTGTCTCCGTCGTCTGGCGGGGATTCCTGGGCGCCTGGGCACTGGGGCACACGGGAGTAGGACGGCTGCTGGCTGTCAGGGGCCTGGAGGCTGCTGGAGTGTGGAAGCCCCGCCCTGCCCTTGCCACGTCTCACATGGCACCTGCGTCCTCCCAGCTCCCCTGGGGCCAAGGCTGTGGCAGAGCTGGTTTCTGTAGGGGCTGCCCCAGTTGGGACTGTGAGAGAGAAAAAGTGCTATCCTCGTCATCTTGGAGGAGGGACGCAGGACAGACGTCTGACAGGACTGGCCAGCAGTCAGTGTATGGAGTCCTGGAAAGGGGGTTAGGTAGGGATGGGGCATATAATTACAGGTGCCACTGCCTCCCCCGCTACACTCTACCAACCTGACCTAGCACAGCAGGGGAAGGAAGCTGGGTCTCTAGAGGGTCCAGACCTGGTCCTGGTGCCCCAAGCTGGGGAGACAGTATTGGAGAGACACTACCAGACTGTGTCTGGGGTCAGTTCTGAGGCAGGAAGAGCAAGTGCTGAGGTCTCAGAGAAGAGAAGACTCCAGGAGGGAGGAACAGAGGCTTACAGGGGACACTGAAGCTTCACCCTGATTCCTTTCTCAGGCCCCCCAACACTGCCCCTACCCCCACGTACCCATTACCTGGGCTCCATTTCACTTTCCTTTTTTTAGTTAAGAGACAGGGTTCTTACTAGTCACCCAGGTTGTTCTCAAACTCCTAGCCTCAAATGATCCTCCTGAGTAGCTAGGACTACAAGTGCCATACTCAGCTCTTAATTTAGACTTTTAAGGGTTTCTAGAAGGCATCTCTCTTTCAGAGCCCAGCCCCAATCTCCAGCACCCATCCCCCTCAATCCTGACCTCTCAGGCTCCCTATTACCCTCCAGGGAAATAGAAGCCACAGAAGCACTGGCTCCAATCTCTCCTCAAGCCATTGGGGCCTACTCAGCTGCCTGCAGCTACCTGGTGTCTGGAACACCCTTCCTACTCCTTCCCATACCTGGTCACCTAGGCTTCATCCCCCAGGATGGGACACCAGGCTCTTGGAGAGCGTACCCTTTTCCCCTAGACTGGTAGGGCATGTCCTTTGTGACTCAGCACTGGACTAGATTTTGTTAGTCAGGTGTTCCCACCCCTTCACCTGTTCCATGCCTGGCACAGAACACCCTTCAGCGCTTGTTGCATGGATGAATGAATGAATGAATGAATGAATGAAAGAGGAGGGGACGCAGTTTGCACTCCAAGCTGAAAGGTGATTGAATGGAGCCATCACAGGCTTTCTAATGAGGGGAGTGCTGAGTCATGAGTGTGTGATCCAGCATTGGCTTAGGGAGCAGGGTGGTGCCCTAAAGTCTTCTCAAGGGCACTGGATGTATTCTGGGGCAGGCTACCAGCTGGAGGAAGGAAAGACAGACTGTGGCCCCTCAGTCAGCAAGACTCTCAGGGAGCCCACAAGAGTGGGCAGTTCATCAGTGTCCCCACAGTATCCAATGCTCCTGTTGGCCTCAGTAGTAGAATCCCTGATTATAGTGGAGCCAATGGCAGTTACCCTTGTTTCAGTCGCCAATAAACAATAAATTTCCCAGTCTTCCTTGCTGTTATATAGGGCTGTGCAACATAGTATGGCCATTAAGATGTGATCAGAAGTGTCTTGAGTGAATCCTGGGATGGTCCCTTGTTATGAATCTCCATCTCCTCTTCCTCCTTCAGTGCTGAATATGGATGTAATGGCTAGAGCACAAGCAGCCACCATGGACCATGAGGTGGACCCCAGGTGATAACAACAGCATAGCAACAATGTAGAAGGAGCTGGGGTAGCCAAAAAGTTCATGAATTACTCCACCAGCCCTGACTGATGTATCTCCAGAGAAAGAGCTAAACCTCCATTTTGTTTAAGCCCCCAATAACATCAGAATGTTATTATGCATACATATATGTCTGTGTATGTGTACATATATGTGTGTATATATATATGCACACACTTTTTTTTTTGGTGCAACAAAGTCTCGCTCTATTGCCCAGGCCTAGAAGGTCATGGCATCAGCCTAGCTCACAGCAACCTCAAACTCTGGGGTTCAAGTGATCCTTCTTGTCTCAGTTTCCAAGTAGCTGGGACTACAGGTGCCTGCCATGATGCCTGGTTAATTTTATTTCAGTAGAGACAGGAACTCACTCTTCCCAGAGTGGTCTTGAATATCTGAGCTCAAAAGATCCTCCCACCTCCCCCAGAGTGCTAGGATTACAGGTGTAAGTCCTCAGCTCTGAATGTTATCTTCACTAATGCCCCAGGATTCATTTCTTCTTTCTTTCTTTCTTTTTTTTTTTTTTTTTTTTTTTTTGGAGACAGAGTCTTACTATGTTGCCCTTGGTAGAGTGACCGCACACAGCAACCTCAAACTCTTGGGCTTAAGCGATTCTCTTGCCTCAGCCTCCCAAGTAGCTGGGACTACAGGTGCCTGCCACAACGCTTGGCTACTTTTTGGTTGCAGTTGTCATTGTTGTTTGGCAGGCCCAGGCTGGGTTCAAACCCGCCAGCTCTGGTGTATGTGGCTGGTGCCCTAGCCACTGAGCTACAGCCACTGAGCCCATTTCTTCTTTCAACAAATATCATTCCATACCAGCCCCCGAGCTAAGTGTTGAGGACACAGAAGTATGCAAAACAGACAACATCCAGCCCCCACAGAGCTTTGGTCAGCAGGGGAACAGAATAAATACACCAACAAAACTGCCAGATAATTATAAGGCTAAGGGAGAAAAATGGAGGATGGAAAGAAAATGTCAGAGGGCAGAGTGGAGTCACAAGGATAATATTGCACCAATACCTAAAAGGAAGTGAGGGTCCAGATCATGCAAACTGCTAGAGGAAAGGGAATTGTGGGCAGCGGGCACAGAACATGCATAGCCCCTGAGGTGGAGATGAGTTTGGTGGGTTCCAGACGTAGCACAAAGTGGGCGGGCTGGGAGAGTGGTGAGGGGCTGGTTTAGGGAGTAGGTCAAAGGGGCCACACAGAGCCTTGTGAGAAAGGTGGATTTCATTCACAGGCTGGTCTGCAGCAGGGAGAATTGCCACTCTTGAGAGAAATAGGAGACAGTGACATGCTCCAGGCAGGATCCCCCATGTGGGGTCCTCACACCTGCTCCTAACTTTAGCTCCTTGCCCCAGCCTCTGCCCACAGCTCCAAGGGGCATGGCCACCTGCAGTTGCCCAAGCCCCACAGCTGGGTGCTTCCCTCCCACTCCTCTCTGCTGTTTGTCAACCTGCTTCCGGTCAGGCCTTGTCCCGCTTCCTCACTCTCACATCTGAGTGACCCACTGGGAGAAGACAGTGAAGGAAACTACACTTTCTGTGGTTTCGGCTTCCCCTTCTACCTGCATAGCCGCCTCCACACTGGAGTTTCAATTCCCACCTCCTGCTCAGCTGATACCTCCAAGCTCACACGTGTTTGAACAGCCCCCATGCACCCACCAGCCTCCCCCACTATGGTCCCTGGAGCTGGGAAAAGCTTAAGGGTGGACCATGAGCAGAAATACTCATGGAAAATGCCAGAACATTGGAGACTAGGGTTCCCTTGGCTTTTTCAAAGCTCTGAGCAGGCCTGCAGCCTGGCAGAAGACACACACTGGTCCCTTGTGTGCAGTCAGAGCTCAACTAAGGGAGTGGGTAGTGGGTTGATCTATGTCTCCCCAAAAGATATACCCACATCCTAGCCCTGGAACCTCAGAAGGTAACCTTCTTTGGAACAAGGGTCTTTGCAGGTGTTACTCATTAAGGATCTTGTGATGACACCATCCTGGGTTTAGGGTGATCCTGAATCCAAAGACAGATATCTTTATAAGAAAACAGAGAGACAGAGTGAGAAGGCTGTATGAGGGTGGAGGCAGAGATAGGAGTGATGCGTGTCTACAAGACAAGGAGCACCAAGAACTGTTGGCAGTCACCCAAAGCCAGGAGTGGCATGGGACAGATTCTCCCTTGGAGACCCCAAAGGGAATTGACACAAAAGCAGCAATGAATCTAAACTTCTGACTCCATAACTACAACAGAATATATTTCTTTTTTCTTGAGCTACCCAGTTTGTGGTACTTTTGTTAAAGCCAGTCCAGGAAATTCCTCCATGGTACCCACGCCCAAGGGGAGGAGGCCCCACTCTCAGCCCCATTAAGACTAGTTATAGATTAGGCCCCCAGCCAGGGTGCGACAGCCCCACCCCCAATACCTGCTGCTATCAAGGACCACAAGACAAAGGAGACTTCCAGTAAAGCTGCTTTTAATATCCAGGTCACCTGGAGCTGTGGCAAACAGGCTGAACCCCCAGGGCAGGGCTGGTGGACAGACTGTCAACTTCCAACAGCAGCACCATGTGGCTTTTCCAAATGGGGGCCTGGAGCGCAGTGGCCAGCAGGGGCCCAGCCCCTCAGGCCATGTGTGGTCCCAGCTGTGGAGTCTCTCTGGCCTGATGGTTATAAAGTGGAATGCTTCTCAAAGGGCACTGTTAGGAGTCTGGCGGCTGCCTCATCCAGAAACCAGCAAAGTTTCCCGGTGTGGGGTTGGACCAATGCAGCAGGGAGTGGGTTTGCTTCCTTGTCCTCCAAAATGCGCTGCATGGAGAAGGCAGGAGCATGAGGCCTTGGCTGGACCACTGGTGCCCTTCAGAATTCCCAGGGCTCCCCCAGATAAGATCCTTATACCCTCAACATGTGATGACGTTGTTTTCGGCTGTCCTAGCCTCAAACGTCGGCAAGAACAGAGTCCCTTTTTTCCTATCACATGTAACTGCTTATTTATTTATTTATTTATTTATTTTTAGAGACAGAATCTCACTTTATCACCCTCAGTAGAGTGCTGTGGCATCACAGCTCACAGCAACCTCCAATTCCTGGGCTTAGGCGATTCTCTTGCCTCAGCCTCCCAAGTAGCTAGGACTACAGGCGCCTGCCACAACGCCTGGCTATTTTTTGTTGCAGTTTGGCTGGGGCTGGGTTTGAACCTGCCACCCTCAGTATATGGGGCCAGCGCCCTTACCCACTGAGCCAAAGACACTGGCCCCATTCATTTATTTTATTTTATTTATTTATTTTTATTTTTAAGAGACAGAGTCTCACTTTATTGCCCTTGGTAGAGTGCTGTGGTGTCACAGCTCACAGCAACCTCCAACTCCTGGGTTTAGCTGATTCTCTTGCCTCAGCCTCCCAAGTAGCTGGGACTACAGGCGCCTGCCACAACGCTCAGCTATTATTTTTGTTGCAGTTTGGCCGGGGCCGGGTTTGAACCCACCACCCTCAGTATATGGGGCCGGCATCCCACTCACTGAGCCACAGGCGCCACCCTCTATTTATTTATTTTAAGAGTAGGCTCACTCTGTCACCCAGGCTAAAGTACAGTGGCATGATCATAGCTCACAGTAATCTGGACCTCGTGACCTCAAGTGATTCTCCTGCTTCAACCTCCCCAGTAGCTGGGACTACCAGCTCCTGCCAGCATACCTGGCCAATTTCTTTTTTCCTTCTTTTTTTTTTTTTCCCTGTGGAGACAAGGTCTTGCTACATTGCTCAGGATGGTTCTGAACTCTTGGCCTCAAGTGATTTTCTTGCCTCAGGCTCCCCAAGTGCTGAGATTACAGGCGTGAGCCACCGAGCCTGGCCTGTAACTGTTTAATACTATGTTCAGCACCTCTTTTCTGCAAAAAAACTAGAATTAATATATTGAGGTCTGTAGACTATCAAGTACAGTGGTTCTCAACCTTCCTAATGCCGTGACCCTTTAATACAGTTCCTCATGTTGTGGTGACCCCCAACCATAAGGGGAACTGTATTAAAGGGTCATGGCATTAGGAAGGTGGAGAACCACTGATCTAGTATCTGTTGCAACTATTTAGCTCTGCTGTTATAGCCCAAAGCAGCTGTGGACAATACCTACACAAACAAGAGTGACTGTATTCCCAATTAGTATTTATTTCTCAACACTGAAATTCAAATTTCTTTCTTTTTTTTTTTTTTTTTTGAGACAGAGCCTCAAGCTGTCCCCCTGGGTAGAGTGCTGTGGCATCACAGCTCACAGCAACCTCCAACTCCTGGGCTCAAGAGAGTCTCCTGCCCCAGCCTCCCAAGTAGCTGGAACCACAGGCGCCCACCACAATGCCTGGCTATTTTTTGGTTGCAGCGGTCGTTGTTTTGGTGGGCCCAGGCTGGATTCAAACCCGCCACCTTAGGTGTATGTGGCTGGTGCCTTAGCCACTTGAGCCATACGCGCTGAGCCTGAAATTCAAATTTCATAGAGTTTTCACAAGACAAGAAATATTATTCATTTGAATTTCTTTTTTTGAGATGGGATCTTGTGATGTTGCCCAGGGTGGAATGTAATACCTGTTCACAAGTGCTATCACTGCACACTATTGCCTCAAACTCCTGAGCTCAAGAGATCCTCTTGCCTCTTGAGTAGCTAGGATTAGAGGAGTGCACCATCATGCCCAGTTCTTCATTTAATTTTTTTCCTAATCACTTAAAAGGAATGTGGCCTGCAGGCCATGGGGTACCAACCACTGATTGGACCTCCTAATTATCAGGAATTATAAATACTGCTTTCGCTGGGTATGTTAGTGCATACCTGTAATCCCAGCTATGCAGGAGGATCGCTTCTGCCCAAGAGTTCAAGGTTACAGTGAGCTATGATCATGCCACTTATATTAACTCATTTACTTCTGATGACAGACTTGTAGAGTCACCTTTGTTCTCAGCCTCATTTTATGGAGTCGCTAAGGGTATGAGGGGCTGAGTCACCTATCTGAATTCTCATGGCCTATATTGTTCTGTACATGGAGGGACACTACATCAGAACCCCATCAACCAACACTCAGGGAATCTGGGTGGAAGAGCTCTCCCAAACCACATTGCAGATGACAACGTTGAGGTCTGGAGGGTTTAAGTGGCTGCCCAATGCCACCTGGAATCACTTAGCAAGGAAGTCCAGTCTACTGGACTCCAAAAATTCTGCACCCGGCAACCCAGCACTAAGCTACCCCCATGAAGACATCTGGACCCAATGGGTGGAAATGTCTACCATGTTTCCACCATGTTTCCAATGGTGGAAAGTATTATTATTTATTATTTTTAAAATATTTCCAATTTCTTCCATAGATGTTGGTCTTTTCAATGGTGGGAATTAAAATTTTTTAATTAATGCCCAGGAACAGTGGCTATAATCCTAGCACCCTGGGAGCCCAAGGTGGGTGGATTGTCTGAGCTCACAAGTTTGAGACCAACCTGAGTCAGAGCAAGAACTCGTCTCTAAAAAAAAAATAGCCAAGCATTGTGATGGGTACCTGTAGTCCCAGCTACTTGGGAGGCTGAGGCAAGAGAATTGCTTGAGCCCAAGCAAACTTGAGCAAGTTTAAGGTTGCTGTGAGCTATGATGCCATGGCACTTTACCAAGGGTAACAAAATGAGACTCTGTCTCCAAAAAAATAAAAAATAAAAGTAAATTAGGGCAGTGCCTGCGGCTCAAAGGAGTAGGGCGCCAGCCCCATATACTAGAGGTGATGGGTTCAAACCCAGCCCTAGCCAAAAACTGCAAAAAATAAATAAATAAAAGTAAATTTAAAAATAAAACATTTTAATTATTTAGTTTATTTTAAATACCTTAATGAATTTTATATTTTCCTAAAATGTTATTTGTAATTGTGCCTTTCATTTTATTCCTAATGTGATATGATTTTTTTTTTTTTAGAGACAGAGTCTCACTTCACAGCAACCTCTAACTCCTGGACTTAGGTGATTCTCTTGCCTCAGCCTGCCGAGAAGCTGGGACTACAGGTGCCCGCCACAACGCCAAGGTATTTTCTTATTGCAGTTAGGCCAGGGCTGGGTTTGAATCCACCACCCTCAGTATGTGGGGCCTCAGTATATGGGGCTGGTGCCCTACTCACTGAGCCACAGGCACCGCCCAATGTTACATGATTTTTTTCCCTCTTGATTGGCTTTGTCAGGAGGTTGTCTATCTTTCAGATATACCTACCAAAAAACTTTTATTTATTTATTTATTTTTTTTTTTTTTGAGACAGAGCCTCAAGCTGTCCCCCTGGGTAGAGTGCTGTGGCATTACAGCTCACAGCAACCTCCAACTCCTGGGCTCAAGCAAGTCTCCTGCCTCCACCTCCCAAGTAGCTGGGACCACAGGCGCCTGCCACAACGCCGGGCTATTTTTTGGTTGCAGCCGTCATTGTTGTTTGGCGGGTCCGGGCTGGGGATTCGAACCCGCCACCTTAGGTGTACGTGGCTGGCGCCTTAGCTGGTTGAGCTATAGGCGCCAAGCCCCAAAAAACTTTTAAAAAGTACTAACCAACTCATTAATTTCTTTTCTTTTTTTGAGACAGAGTCTCACTTTGTCACTCTTGGTAGAATGCCATAGTGTCATAGGTCATAGCAACCTAAAAGTCCTGGGCTCAAGTGATTCTCTTGCCTCAGCCTCCTGTGTAGCTGGGACTACAGGACCACACCACCACAGCACCTAGCTATTTTTAGAGACGTGGTCTCATTCTTGCTCAGGCTGGTCTTCAACTCCTGAGCTCAGGTAATGCAAATCATTAATTTCTGATTTTAATTTCACTTCCACTGAGTTTCCCCAGATTTACATTTTGTTCTTTTTCTAATTGTAGAATAAAATGTTTGATCTATTTATTTCAATGGTTTTCTAGTTAATAAAAAAAAATGCATTTTAATGTGATGAATTTACCTCTGAGTACAGCTTTGGCCTCACCTTATCAATTTCATTTTACATTCATTCCTAAGTAGCCAGAAATTTCAGTTTTAATCTCCCCCTTAATTCAAGAATTACTGAATTATCTAATAAAAATGCATTTTTAATGCAATGAATTTACCTCTGGGTATGGCTTTGGCCTCACTTCATCAATTTCATTTCATGGTCATTTATTCCTAAATAGTTAGAAATCTCAGTTTTAATTTCCCCTTTAACTCAAGAATTACTAAATTATCTTCAGATCTAATGTTTCTAGTAACATAGTGTCTGGGGTCATATTCTATCCCAGGAGCCCACATGCCCATTACCTTACTGAGATCAGAATGCTGTTACCTTCAGAACACCTGCTTTGCCTTCTCCAGTTGCCACAAAGATGACAGTTCGGGCTGCATTCAGGACAGGTAGTGTGAGTGTCACACGCTGTGGGGGTGGCTTTGGGGAGTCACTGATGGGGGCCACAATCTTCTCACGCTCCTGGGGGAGGAAGGCCAGTAGTGGAGACACAAGTACATCACTTCTACTTCTTGAGCACATACACATGCCAGGCCCAGTGCAGCCATCACTCCATCACATCATAACAATTCTGTGGTGGATGATTTAGGGTCCTCATTGTAGGCTCAGAAGGGCTGGGCCCAGCGAGCATGTACACTGGTGAAAGCTGACTTAAAATCTGGGTCTAGGAGCCCTGCCCTGCAGATAGCCTTCCCTCTGGAAGCTCCAGACACCAGGGACTGGGCTTAGGACAAAAGTGAATCATGAACCTTGGTAGGCTCACCTGCAGAAGGGGATGGTCTGGGAAAAGTGAGCAAGTGTGACCATCTGGGCCCACTCCCAGGATCAGAAGGTCGAAAACCGGGATGGAGTCTCCTTGGAATGCCTTGACAAAGGAAGAAGATAGTCAGGAGAGGTTGTGAGGTGGGTGAGAGAGCTCAAAGGACATACAGAGGCAATCATCAGGAAAACATGAGCAGCCATAACACAGGAAACATTGTTCAGCTTTGCCTGTGATCAAAACCCCACCAGTCTAGGGACACAGCTGTTCCCAAGAACTGAGTTCCCAGACTGCTACCTGGGCAAGAGTGTCCAGGAGACCCTCTGGATCCCCAAGGTGGGGCTATGGCCTTGTGGGGGATGGGAAAGAGGGTCTGTGGATCACCTCAGGGAAGTTTCTGCTGGTAACAATCATATAAGGCTGCTCCACTGCCCAGGGAATAGCCCCGTAGTGGACATGGTCTCCCTTGCGGCTGTTCCTTGTAACTTACCTGTCTCAGCTTCTTGGCATAGTCCTCAGCTGCCTCCTCCACAGGTAACTCAGGGTTGATGGTGATCACTTGGTTGTCTGGGATGGGCAGCCTGGAGAGCAGGTGTGTCTATAACAGAGGGACAATATCACCAATAGTAATGAAACCACCTTGATTCCCCCAGGAGGGACACTTCAAAGATGGTACTGTCATTACACCCATTTACAGATGGGGACACTGAGGTACAGGAGGACTGGTGCACTTGTTCAAGGTTCCTCAGTTAGTGAGTGGTTCAAGATTCCTTAGCCCTCACTGATACTGTCTCTCATGGAAGAAGAGATTCAAGGGAAATGGAGGCTCTGGGGGCCAGGCATGAGGGTCTCTGGGGGAGAAAAGTGGCCCTCCTGGGAGTTGGATCACCATGATGCCTATGCCTGGAGCCATTAGAAGAGCAAAGACAGGCTCGGCGCCTATAGCTCAACCGGCTAAGGCGCCAGCCACGTACACCTAAGGTGGCGGGTTCGAATCCCCAGCCCAGGCCCACCAAACAACAATGATGGCTGCAACCAAAAAATAGCCAGGCGTTGTGGCGGGCGCCTGTGGTCCCAGCTACTTGGGAGGCTGAGGCAGGAGACTCGCTTGAGCCCAGGAGTTGGAGGTTGCTGTGAGCTGTGATGCCATGGCACTCTACCCAGGGGGATAGCTTGAGGCTCCGTCTCAAAAAAAAAAAAAAAAAAGAAGAGCAAAGACAATCTCAGAGCACCATGCCCTGTTTTCCACCATGGAACTTTGAAGTATACCATGATTGGGGGGAGGGAGGACTCTCAGTCACAGCCTACACCTATCTGGCCATATTATAGCCCTGTTTCAAAGCCTCCAAGGTCCCTTAGCCCTCAAGAGGGCTTATAAACATCAAAATGTATTGCTTACAGTTCTAGAGACTGGGAAGTCAAAGATCAAGGTGCCAACAGTATCTGGTGAGGGCCTGCTTCCTGGTTTTTTTTGTAGAGACAGGGTCTTGCTCTTGCTCTTGCTCAGGCTGGTCTTGAACTCCTGGCCTCTAGTGATCCTCCTGCCTCAGCCTCCCAAAATGACAGGACTATAGGCATGAGTCACTGTGCCCAGCCCAGCATCTCTCTTTTTATCTTTTCCTGATTACTTTTAGAGATAGTTTCTTACTGTCTTCCAGGTTGGAATGCAGTGGCTTGATCATAGCTCACTCTAACCTCAAATTCTTAGGCATAAGCAATCCTCCTGCCTCAGACTCTGGAGTAGCTGGTACTACAGTGATATGACTAATTTTTAAATTCTTTTGTAGAGGCTGGAGTCTCTCTATGTTGTCTAGGCAGATCTAGAACTCCTGGACTCTAGCAATTGGCCTCCTAGAGTGCTGGAATTACAGGTGTGAGCTGCCTTGTCCTGCCCCTTGGGTGTCTTGCATAATCCCATTCATAAGGGCTCCCCTCATGACCTAATCACCTCTCAAGAGCCCCATCTCCTAATACTACCACCTTTGGGGTTAATATTTTAACATATGAATTAGGGTGAAGGTATATAAACAGCCTCTATAGTTATACACCTCCTTAGGTACTTCACTGAGCAAAACTAGGACTACTGATACCCCATTTCTGTCACATGAGTCCCTCTTTTGGCTGTCCTCCCCCTTCCCTGGCTCAGAGCTGCTCCTTCTCTGGCACTGAGGGTGGGTGCTGGTGCTAATAACCCATAGATGGAGTGGGCACAAAGGTCCAAGAGGAGGGATATGCCCTCAGTGGCTCATTATGGGCTCAGATGGATGTGGGTGGCTCCCAGATTCATACTTTTACTCCCTCCCATTTCTCCTGCCTCCCTCTTGGGCTCCTCCTGGGAGCTCCCTTTATTCATCACAGTCAACAGGACTCCCCAGGTCAGGCTGTGCTTCCAGGGAGCCCGGGACTAGGGTGGTGTTAGATGGGCAAGTTCCTAGAAGTGGAAATTCTGGTTGATCCAGGCAGGCTCTCTTGAAACATGTTTAAGGTGTTGCCGGACCAAGATGCTGCAGTAAGGCAGCCCAAACCAACCTTAATACCCCTATGATGCTCATGCCTAAGGTACAGGTGAACAGGGGGAAATTTAGGCTGAGAGCTACAAGGTGTACAAGGCACCCTCATTGAAGATGCAGACACTTCTATATCCTTGTAGTGAGTTGAATAGTATCCTCCCAAAACTCATGTCCACCCACGACCTCAGAATATGACCTTATTTAGAAATAGTGTCTCCGTTGCTGGGCATGGTGGTTCACACCTTTAATCCTAGCATTTGGAAAGGTGGAGGATTGTTTGAAGCCAGGGGTGCAATGCCAACCTGGGCAACATAGTAAGAGTCTGACTGTACAACAAATGGAAAAATTAGCCAGGTGTGGTAGGGTTTGCCTATAGTCCCAGCTACTCAGGAGGCAGAAGTGAGAGGATCAACTTGAGCCTAGGATTTGGAGCCTGCAGTGAGATACGATGACTCCACTGCACTCTAGCCCATGTGACCGAGCAAGACCTTGTCACCCAGCCTCAAAAAAAAAAAAAAAAGAAAGGAGAAGAAGAAAAAGGAAAGGAAAGAAAGAAATAGGGTCTTTGTAGATATAATTAGTTAAGAACAAGTCATACTGGATTAGGAAAGGCCCTAAATCCAATGACTGGTGTACTTATGAGAGGAGAGGACACATAGAGAGAATCAGAGAACACAGAAGCAGAGATTAGAGTGATATGGCCACAAGCCAAGGAACTCCTGGAGCCACCAGATGCAGAAGAGGCAAGAGGTATCCTCCCCTAGAGCCTTCAGATAGAGCTCTGCTGCCAACACCTTGATTTTGGATTTCCTCCATAAATGTAAGAAAATAAATTCCTGTGGTTTTCAGCCACCCAACAGCCCAAGGAAAATAATATGGTCTCCATATTTGTCCCTACCACACAGCCTCTGCCTTGACTGAGCCCTGTTGCTTCAGATTGCCCAAGGCCAACTCCTTCCTATGTTTCACATCTCAGCTCAGATGTCACCTTCTCAGAGCCCTGGGCCCTAACCTCCCTTGACAAAGGATGTTCACATAACCTCTGGCACTTTTGTATCATTTCACAGTATTTTTTTTCACATGCATTATGTTAATGCCCTGAGTGGATTTTCCTTATTTGTTTCCCCATGTGGGCACCCATCTCTCTAGTATGGGCCCTGTGAGGGAACCGCCTAGTTCTCCACTGTGTTCCCAGTGCTAGGGCACAGGGCCTTGCAAAGAAGGGATGCTCCTTCAATATCCATCCAACTTTCTCATTTGCTATTTTGTTAAGAGTTTTGTTATTTGAGTAAGTAGTTTTCCTAATTAAAAAAGTTTGTAAAAAGCCATGCAAAGAAGGTGGCGCCTGTGGCCCAAGGAGCAGGGTGCCAGCCCCATATACCAGAGGCGGCAGATTCAAACCTGGCCCCAGCCAAAAATTGCGGAAAAAAATAAAAAGCCATTCAAAGAAAGAAACAAAAGCCCACTTTTTAATGACACTCTTAGGAAAACACACAGAAATGCAGAAATTAAGTGAAGCCCCCTCCTCTGGTCTCTAGGTGACCTGGACAGGTAAGCACGCCTCTTCTGTTTTGTTTCCCCATCTGTGAAAGGGGTAGTGGAGTAATAGTCGCTGTGGGGATTCATGAGATCATGCATATAAAACGCTCAGTAACCTTTACCTCCAATTATAAAAATATAACACAAAACCATCAGCTTGAGCTTCTATGCAAAGAGAAGGCAACACATCCAGGATTGGGCAGCCCATGACATTGCCCAGCTCAAGAGACCTGAGGTTCCTGGCCAAGTCAGCCCCTCTCACCCCTCCCTGGGGCGGATTGAGAGCAGACTCCGATGCAGTCAGAGCACCCCAGGGCAGGCCATGACTCCTCCAAACCTTAATCTCCTTGGCTGTAAAACCAGGACTCTCGCCTGATTCTATCAAAGCCAGGATATCCATCAGACCCGCAAGGGCTGAGAGACCACTGAGAACTCCTCCAGGTTCGAGATGAAGCTTCAGGACAGATGCCTCTTGGCTGGCTCCTGCACTGCCCTAACTGCCTTTGCACGCCGGGAGACTACTGAAACTACTGAATGGGCCTCATTGTGGAATAGGCCAGTTGGTTCGCTTCCACGCCCTTACTCATGCCATTCCCTCTGCCTGGTCACCAGACAAAGCATGACCAGGCACTGCAGAGGCCGCATTGGACCGCCCATGTAGAATTGGAGAGTAGTGTAGCCCAGGTGGGACCTCGGCAGCCCAAGGAGACCGTTCCCAGCCCAGCCCAGAGAAAAGCAGAGGGCCCTGTGAGCCCCTGCAAGGCCGGGGCTCAGGGGTGGGCGGGGCTCACCAGGCATGACCCCCGGCGGCCCCCGTAGCTCTCACCCGGTAAAGGCCGTACGTGCTCTCGGCGTGCTCGAAAGGCACTAGGCGCTCGTCGCAGAAGCCCAGCGTCCAGCGGGCGAGGCTAGCGGGCCCGGCGGGGGCAGCGGCGGCGGGCAGTTCACGGGCCAGCATCGTGACCAAGCTGCCGCCCGACAGGCCGAGCGCGAAGCGGGCGCGGGTCCCAGCCAGGCAGCATGCTGCCCTCTGAGCCACTAGCTGCGCTAGCGAGGCGCCCAACTCCTGCGGGCTCGAGAAGACTGAGATTAAGCCCGGGGCCGGCGCGGCCATGGCGACGGCAGCGGCGGGGAGGCGGAAGCGCTTCGGCGGCCGCTAGTGCGCTTGCCCGAAAGAAGGCCCTGCTTCAGTGCTTTGGGCGGCCACCTTTGGCACATGCGTAGTTGTACAAATAAAGCCACGACAGGGTTGGGCAGTCGGTCCGGTCTCACCCATTGATTTTTGACCCACTGTACCTTTCGAGAGTTGGGGCAAGCAGAGCTCGAATGCTCAGCCTTGGGATGTCAGGAGAGCCCGAGAGGGGAGTCCAAGAAGGGGACGTGGTATTGGGGTGGCAGGAGAGCTTCGGGAAGATTTCCTGGAGGAGGGCTCATTTTGGTGGGTTTTGAAGTTTCCTCATCCTTTGTCATAATTATATTTATCATAATTATCATATATTATCATAATTGTTGCTATTTTTGTGTTCTCTCCCCCTCGTAGTAAGCACTATGAGACTCATACAGGTAGTGCATCTTTAACTCTGAAGCAAATTAAGAAACCTAATCCATTCACCATAGCATCATAAAGAATAAAATAGGGATTACTTTAACAAGAGATATGTAAGAGTTGTACACTGGGGAGGCTGGGCGCGGTGGCTCACGCCTGTAATCCCAGCACTCTGGGAGGTAGAGGCTGGCGGATCGCCTGAGCTCACGGGTTGGAGATCAGCCCGAACTAGAGCGAGACACCGTCTCTAAAAACAGCCGGGTATTGTGGCGGGCGCCTGCAGTCCCAGCTACTCGGGAGGCTGAGGCAAGAGGATCGCTTGAGCCCAAGAGTTGGAGGTTGCTGTGACCTATGACGCCACAGCACTCGGGAACGACAAAGTGAGACTCTGTCTCAAAAAAAAAAAATTGTACACTGAAAACTATTAAATGGTAAGACATCCACGTTTATAGACGGGGAGGGAAATATATTGTTAAGATGGTGATACCACCCAAATTAGACGACATAATCCCTATCAAAATTCCAGCTGTCTTTTTAGTAAAAATTGACAAGCTTGTCCTAAAATTCATAAGAAATTGCAAATGACCCCCAAATAAACAAAACAATGTTGAAAAGGAACAAAATTGGAGGATTCACACTTTCTGATTTCAAGCTAACAAGCTACTGTAACCTAGAGAGTATAGTATTGGCATAAGGATAGACATCTAGGTCAAAGATGAGAACTGAGAGTGCAAAAATAAATCCATACATATATGTATGATTAAGTGATTTTCGACAAGGGTGCCAGGACTATTCAAAAGGAAAAGAAGAGTCATCAATAAATAGTGCTGGGACAATGGAATACGGGATAACCTCATGCAAAATAATGAAGGTGGTCTGTGTGCTAGGCAGAATAATAGTCCCTTACCCCCAAAATGCTCATACTCTAATCTCTTGAGCCTTTAAATATATTAGGATACTTGGCAGGGGGTAATTATGGTAGCCAAGAAATTAGGTTGTTGAGAATTGTCATTAGAATAGATGATCTAGATGGGCTTGATGTAATCAAAAGGGTCCTTACACATGTAAATAGAAAAGGGAAGCAGAAAAGGTAGAACCAGGGCATTAATGTTGCAAGAAAGATTTGACCTGCTGTTGCTGGTTTTGAAGATGGAGGAAAGAGGCATGCATCAAGGAATGTGGGTGGTTCCCAGGAACTGGAAAATGCAAGCAAATGTCTAAATGTCTTCGACCCTAGGTCCTCTAGGAACCAGCCCTGCAGACAACTTGATTCTAGCCGGGTGAAGTCAATTTCTGACTTCTGAATTTCATCACTATAATAGATTAGTGTTATTTTAAGTCACTGAGTTTTTTTAGCAATTTGTTACAGCAGCACTAGAAAACTAACACAGGTCCCTTCCTCACACTGTATACAAATAAATAACTCAAAATGGGGTGAAGATCTAAATGTAAGAGCTTAACTCAAAAAACCCAGAGAAGAAAACAAAGACATAAATCTTTATGAACTTTGAGGGCACAAGCAATAAAAGATATGTTGATAAACTGGACTTTATCAAATTTGAAAACTTTTATGTATCAAGGGTACTACCAAGAAAGTGAAAGGAAAACCCACAGAATGGAAGAAAATATTTATAAATTGTGTATTTTGTAAGAATCTAGCATACATAAAGGATTAAGAACTCTTAAGAAAAAGACAACCCAGGCTGGGTACAGTGGCTCATGTCTGTAATCCTAACACTCTGGAAGGTCAAAGGCAGGAGGATCACTTGAGTTCAAGAGTTCAAGACCAGCCTGAATAAGAATGAGATCTTGTTTCTACAAAAATTAAAAAAAAATTAGCTGGGTGTAGTGGCATCCACCAGCACTCCCACCTACTTGGGAGACTGAGACAAGAGGATCGCTTGAGTCCAGGAGTTTGAGGTTGCTGTGAGCAATGATGACACCATTGCCCTCTAGCAGGGGCAACAAAGCAAGACTCTGTGTCCAAAAAAAGAAAAAGAAAAAAAAGATAATTTTTTAAAAATGGGGTTTTTTGTTTGTTTTTTAATAGAGTCTCACTCTGTTGCCTACGCTAGAATGCCACAGTGCCAGACCAGCTCATGGCAACCTCAAACTCCTGGGTTCAACTGATCCTCCTCCCTCAGCTTCCCAAGTAGCTAGGACTACAGGCACCTGCCACAATGCCCAGCTAATTTTTCTACTTTTAGCAGATACAAGGTATCTCACTCTTACTCAGGCTAGTTTTAGAACTCCTGAGCTCAAGCAATCCTCCTGCCTCTGCCTCCCAGAGTGCTAGGATTACAGGCATAAGCTGCCATATCCAGTCAGACAATCCAGTTTTTAAAAGGGCAAAGTATCTAAATATTCAATATTGTACCAAAGAAGATTAACAATGCCCAATAGAACATGAAAAGATACCCTGCTCTTTAGCCACCAAAGGGAGGTAAATCAAAACTACCGTGAGGTGAGGTGGCTCAGCGCCCAGAGCACAGTGGTTACAACGACAGCCACGTACACAGAGGCTGACGGGTTTGAACTTGGCCCCGACCAGCTAAAACAACAATGACAACTGCAACAACAATAAAAAAAAAAAAAAAGATGA